ATATCATGCATTGCTCGCGATAAAATTTTTACGGTCAGTTTTAAAAAGTTTCAAGTTTGTCGAGATTAGGACCAAGTGGCTTCCATGACGTCATTTATTTATGTTGCTTGAATGTGAGTGGTATCTTAACATGCTGCCTAGATGTGCACTTGACTTTTATCTACGGGGCCGAACACTCGGAGCAGCAGCAATGTGTCTGTCGTGTCAGATACAGCAACGGCCGGCGTCTGTGGCTATCGCTTTTGGTGATACGTTGTTTCGTCGGTAGGCTGAACATGTCATGTACTTATATGTAAAATTCATAGCTTCACCGTGCTAGCACGGCATTAGTGCCGTACTTAAGCGAGATATAGAGGCAGGAGCCTTGGGTGCCTCTAGTACCAAGGCACTGAGCAACGCATTGTAGATTGTAGATACCTTTCACGCATAAATTACGATATCATGCATTGCTCGCGATAAAATATTTACGGTCAGTTTTAAAAAGTTTCAAGTTTGTCGAGATTTGGATCAAGTGGCTTCCATGAGGTCATTTATTTATGTTGCTTGAATGTGAGTGGTATCTTGCTTGACATGTTGCCTAGATGTGTACTTGACTTTTATCTACGGGGCCGAACAGCAGCAGCGATGTGTCTGTCGTGTCACATACAGCAGCGGCCCGTGTCTGTATCCGGTGGGTCTAGCAGCTCTTCGACGAGCAGAGCGGCGTCTGTGGCTATCGCTTTTGGTGATACGTTGTTTCGTCGGTAGAGCGCTAGAGGCTGTTTACTTGTGTCTGGGGACGTGTCAGTTTTGGCTGGCGACACTGTGGACGGTAATTCCCGTGCTGTACGCATGGTCAGTAAATCGAAAAGTACGGATGGTGCTGATCTTGTGCGCTGTGGGTGGCGTGACGGCTTCCAGAGGCAGTATATCCGTGCGGAGCATTGGGACGTTGATGGAGCCTTCTGCTTCCGTGAATGCAGTAGATATGTCCGCCTGATGAGTGTTCATATTTTCCGCTGACTTTTGCGATTGCGTCCATGCAATATGGTAAACGTGTTGCACAAATTGATGTTGTTGCGACGAAAGCGAGAGAGCAAAATGCCCGTTGGAATGCATCAATGTATTTGAGTTGTAATATATTCGACATGTACCATGTATTCGATTACGTCTTCAATATGAACCCTAAGAGAATAACTACACTAAGCTACGGTAGATACTTCAGCATGTAACGCAGCCGGAGAAAGCCCAAACGTGCCGGGCTTGGTTTGGAAGGCAGTGCAACTCCAAATAGTAAACACTCGAAAAAGTTGAGAACTGCCACACCGCAACTTGACATGTCTGGTTGGCGTGAACGCTTCTCTCTCTTATTTGTCAGTAGTGCAAAGATCTCTTCAACTATCTGCTTCAGAAGTTCTTCACATTTGTCGTGGTACTTGGCCTTTGATGCTCGTAGGGGTCCTTCTTACGGTGAAAGTGGCATAGGATAACCCTAAAACCAGGGGGCTCTTTTTCCAGTAACCCAGCTCGCCAAGTACTTAATCGATCACGATGACTCTAATCATCGTCCACGACGGCTTACTAAACTTGAAAGAACTGATAGAATCGGTGAGGCATTCCGTGCTCTCATTTTCCATGAGACTGGGATGAACATTGGTCAACACGATCTAGCAAAACACAGAGAGTATAGTATCTTTGGTAAATCCAGTACTCAACTGGGTACGTCGTGTGGCTACAGCACCTGGAGGTACTAATATGTATTACAAGGTACCTTAACTCTCTAAGGGGGTCTAGGGGTACTCTAGATGCCATTTTATGCACACAGGTTGAGCGGACGATGTAACCTAATCCATTACGTCCGACTACTAGCGTACTCTCATAAAAAGGTCACGCGAAGTTACTAAATCCTAATGTGAATTCTTTCGGGATTCCCGAACTTTAAACGTATGGCCATTAGAGTGATTGTACAGTGGTGCACCTCATTTTCGACACCGGTATGCCTCTATAACCTTCAAAATTTTATGATTCCGCTCAGTGCATTGCGC